TTGTTTGTTTGTTTGTTTGTTTGTTTGTTTGTTTGTTTGTTTGTTTGTTTGTTTGTTTGTTTGTTTGTTTGTTTGTTCGTTCGTTCGTTCGTTCGTTCGTTCGTTCGTTCCTTTGTTCATTCATTCTATTTGTACGCTGTCTATCTGGTCAAAACGACCAATCTAGGCGGCTTCCAGACAGATAAAAATATATACACATATACAAGGAGGCTCATTCAATTAAAATATCTATCTATCGATCGATCGATCGATAGATAGATATAGATATAGATATATGGGGCGGAGTGCAGGAGTAGGCGGCTGTCCTCTAAGGTCCATCATTAGATATACATATGTATGTATTGTGTGCCGTCAAGTCAATTCCAACTTATATCCACCCTTTCCAGTATAAGAATACTCAGAAGTGATTTCTCATTCGCTTCTTCTGGGGGTGGGGTATTCTGGGACTGTGCAGCTGGCCCAAGGCCACCCAGGCTGGCTTTACTCCCAGGAGGCCCAGTGGGGGAAATTGAATTCCAAACCTCTGGCTTCACAACCAGAGGCCTAAACCGCTGAGCTATCCAGCCAGCTTTATTGCCCCTGGTTTTCCATTATGTTGCCCAACCAGGCATTAAAAGGATGGCAGCAATTCAGCCTAATTTTAATACAGAACAGTAAAAAAAATCTTGGCTGGTTGGAGGCTTGAACCTTGCTTCTCAAGTTATTATAACCAGAGAGGGTGGGTTGTATCATGCTTTGTGTGTCACCTACTAGAAGCAACTGACTATATGTTTTCCTTTGGTAAGGCATTAGAGGCACAACAGTGAAGGGCTTTCAGTACAGGCTTTATGCACTCAGAGTCCAAGAACTGCAATTTAAGTGGAAATTTAACCTTTGTAGAATGTTAAACACAGATACCAAAGGGCAGGCACACCATTTAAATTGCATTTTGTGAAGGGGAAAAAAACACGTACTAGCGATTACGACTTGTCTTGTTTTTATATTTTTACTGGATTGGTTTCTGTAAGATTAAACCATCACACACTTTGGTATTAGGTTCATGTGTTTTTAGGTGCTCATTCATTATGGCAGTTATACTTTTCTGAAAGATCTGGAAAGCTTGGTTCTGTTCATGCATACATAGAAAGAGAGAGAGACACACACAGAGACAGAAAGAGAAACAGAGAGAGATGCAGAAACAAGTTAGAGAGTGAAGAGAGAAGAAGACAGCAGAACGTTTCCAAAAAGCCAGGCAGGGCAATAGATTAGAAACCAACCAGGAGCAGTCCAGATTTGCAGGGGAAAGGAGAGCACAGAGCACGTGCTGGAGCATAGGTTGATGGGGGGGGAGAGAGAGAGAAGGTGTCGGTGTTAATGGCAGCTTGCAAATAAAAGCTGGTGACCACGTGCACTTCTTGCCCCTGACTGGCAGGGCGGAGGAGATGCAAAGCATGATCAAGGCTCAAGGCATTGCATTTCAAGAGGGGAAAGGATCGTCCCCCCCCCTTTTCCCACCCTATGGGACTAAGGGGGGAGGAGGAAGAGGAAGAGGAGGAAGAGGAAGAAAAGATAGATTATCCCAGGCAGAGGGAAGAGGGTGAGACGGGGGGGGGGGGGGAGGAAGGAGAGAAAGCCGACCTCGGAGCAGAGACATCCCAGTAGGGTGTGGCAGGAGACTGCGCTGGCGCGTTTCTTTCCTCCAAACGGGGAATGCTGGAAGACACAAGACACACAACGGAAAGGAGAAAAGAGAGGGGGGAGAAAAGAAGACAAGACAGACATAGGCGACAGACAGACGGCCTCCCCGCCCGCCCACCAAGGGCCAGACCTGGTCAGATTATCGACCCACTGAATCCTCCCTTGCTCACAAAGGGTGCCTTGTGGACTGAGCAGAAGCGGGGCCTTTGCCCCAACGTTTCAGGGGTGCCGCCACCGCCGCCCCCTCTTACAATCACAAGCTGCCTCGGTTTCTCGTTAGAGCAAAGTCAGGACCCTAAGCAGGGACCCACGAACGGGCAAGGGCCAGAATGTTGGCAAAGCTGCAAACTTTGCCCAGTCATTTAATCCACTAAAGAGTTTGTTGACTGACAGTAGGAAGGAGTTAGTTCCAAGGGGCTTTTAGATAAGTTGGGGGCAAGACTTCAGACTTTGAAGGCTGATCTGGTAGAGGGGATGAAAATGACGGTTCTGGGTTGGTTGGTTTCATTTTTGTTGTTGACTAAATGGTACGGTATCTTCCTTTCCTGTCTATAATATTTATTTCTTTAAAATCTTTGTACCCTACATTTTTACTCTAGCAACAGCCAGCAAGTAAGTGTCCACAGGACTGCTTATATCTATTTAATCTTATATCATAATCTTAGAACGGCAGGAGCTGGAAGGGACCCTCTGGATCATGGGGTCCAGCCCCTGTTAAGGAGGCCCAGTGGGGGAATCAAATCCCCCATCATCTGGCTCAGCAGCCAGAGACCTGAGTTACCCAGAATTTATCTGGGGTTTTAGCTCCAGCAAATGCAAGAGTCCAGAATTCTGAGTAGACATATATAAGATTGCACTGCAAAACCACTGTATTGCTAATTCTCTCTTTATAGGGTGAACCTTTGGCTCTCCAGATGATCTCATTTGGGGTGGGTGGGTGGTTTCCAGGTAGAGTGGAAGTGGTTTCCCCTTCCCTCCTTCTGGGGGCACCCTGGGGCTGTGCAGCTTGCCCAAGGCCACATAGGCTGGCTCTATTCATAGGAGGCACCGTGGGGAATCAAACTCCCAACCTCTGCCTCCACAGTCAGAGTACTACCGGCCTAAAATCTCCACCCTATTTATATCGAGCCTTCCTTACACCCTCTTCTTTTCAATCACCCTGTTCAATCATATACACAAATGCTAAACACCCAAATTGACTCATTCTGAACCAGAGCACTGGCCTGTGTCGACCCATGCAAGCTATTCAGAATGGCAGCTGCCCTCTTAGATGCCAGACCGTGGGTCTTTGTGACCCTCCTAGCTTGGACTACCAGCATGTAGTGCAAACAATCTGCTGTTGAGGTACAAAAACATCATCTTCAAGAGAACTGGGACGCATCACCCAGGAGCAAAATCCTCCATACCCCCAGAAGCTTGGCATCAGAAGATGGAAAAGCGTGGTGATGTTTGCTTGGCATGACGGGCTATGCCCTCCCTTTGGCAGGTCCCCACTGGTGTCTCCAGCAGGGCGTTTCTTAGTTCTGATGGCCTCTCCCAGGAAGAAGGAAAAACCCACTGATTTCCCAAGCCATTTCAGGAGGGAAGAGCACAGTGAGACCACTGCAGCTGGCCCTGGAGGCCAATGGAGAGGGGAGGGCGGGCACAGTCCCAGATCCACCCACCACATCCAAGAGCTGCCTGGCCTCTAAAGCCTCCGGAAAGCTGGAGGAGGCAGTGGAGGAGGGAGGAGAACACAGACGAGCCTCCCAGCGCTTCTTGTCCTGGATCTCGGAAGGAAGAGCTGAGTCAGGTGACCTCCTTGCCCCAGTGGCCTCATGCTGCTCTGCCAGGTACAGATAAAAGTTGAGAGCAAAGCCTGGAGCTCCTCCGGCTTGTGACTCAGACAGCTCAAGCTTCAAAAAGGGAACAGGGTCTTATTTCCCTTTGGCTGGCTGTACTTTGCACACTTCCAAAATTAATCCCTGCCTTTGGCAGCAGCATCATGACTTCCTGGGCCGAGGCATGGAGAAGTCTGAATAATGGCGCTAGAATACCTCTAGAAAGGGCTGGGAAAATGTACAGATCCCCAACTCTTTCTAGAGGTACGTCTATCTTTTAGGATATAGTACCCTTGGAAAGATACACAAGCCTTTAAAATATACAAAGCATCCAGTCCAATTGGGCTTTTAAAAAAAGGGATAGAAATTAATGCTCATGCAAGCCCGGCTCTGTTCCACCCAGAAGGGAATCCTGTAGCCATGACAGATTACACAATCTGAGCATCTCTGCTTCACTAGCAGAACAAATAAATACTAAAAGCAAAAAAAAAAAAAAAAAAAAAGAAAAAAAAAAAAAAAAATACAGGAACAGGTGCTTAGCTAAAGGACTTCTGCAGCAAGCAGCAAAATTCTGTGATTTTTTTTGTCATGCTTTTAAATAACCACATCACAAACAGAAGTGTGGAGAGTTGCTTCCTACAGGTCTCTGTATTTATTGACGAAGCCCTGGGCCGACTCTAAACACCAGGACACTTAGTAGCTGCCGAAGGTGCTTTCCCATCATCTTATATCAAATCCATGCTAACTGGAAAGGCTCAGGACTAGACGGGGTAACTTTATTTTTAAGTAAAGGACCCAAGTTACTCTGCAGAGGGATTGCTTTAAAGGCAGAAGAGTCTCCGCTTCAGTCCCCCAACCCTGGAAGGCAAGGCTGAGAAAGACGCCTTAAAAAAAATCAGAAAAGACTCCGCCTGCTAGTATTGGCCAGAGATGGGGAAGGCATGGCTCCCCAGATGTTGCAGCACTACAAATCCCAGTGTTCCTCACCACCGGCTACACTGACAAGGACTCAAGGGAGTTCCCTTCCAACAGTATCTGCTGAGTTCTACTTTGCTCCCTGTTGCAGAGACGGACAGACGTGGCAACTTCCTTCGTTCCTCTATCACGTTTTTTTGTCACGGTGGTGCGTTGGTCACACCAATCATTCATCTGGTAGTTACCGATTTGATATACTTATATTACATTTATTTATCTGGCATGCATAAATAAATGACACATTATGAGCCACTTTGGCACAATCTTGTGAAAAAGGGGCCTTTGACTAAATAGAAACGAAGGTAAGAATGAATCCTCTTCTTTTATCTGTTTCCAAGCTGAGACTTTCAAAGAAAAAAAAATTGGTTTCAAGGCTGACGGGTGTAAGTCTTCTCTAGGGAAATCAATACCTGTTCTGTGCTCACCGTTTGTTTCTCCACAGGTTTGAGACAAGGAAGAAGAGACACTGCCAGGAATCATGGCTTACAGATCACACCTGTAAACTGAGAAAGCTTTGTGCAGGATGGGGTGGGGGAAACAGAAGCAGGGAGAAGGTAAGAGGAGGGGTTTATTCTTGTTTCAGGGGCCACGTTGAGCTGGAGTTAGTGAGGGAAGGGACTGGGGGCAAAACAGGGTTTAAGAGGAAAGAGAGCTGCACCTGGGGAGCAGGAAGAACAGCGGTCCGAGAGTGAGCTGGCAGACGGATGGACGGATGGATGGATGGACGGATGGATGGATGGATGGATGGACGGACGGACGGACGGAAGGGTGGATGGAAGGCACGGACTGAACACTCCAGACACTGATATTCAGACATTCCCCTTAAACCACGAGGGAGGAAAGAGAAAGAAGACAGAAAAGCAAAGACAGAGACAACACAGGAGAGAGGAATTCGGAAGACCCAAGGCAAAGAATTAAGGGCGGGGAGAGATCAGTCCAGCCCGTGAGAGTGTCAGTAAAGTGGCCATTGTCAACTTACCTCTCCCAGGTGTATCAATAGGGTCAATATGGAGACGTAACTTGAGAGGCTTACTTAATTAGTCCCGGGTTTTTAAAAAAGTAACTTTTTTTTCAATACAAAGAATGGGGCACAACGTGAGAGCTGAGTCCATCCACCCTCGCGCCCCGCCAACAAACCTGCATCTTGGCAAAAGATGCCGCTGCCACCAGAAAGGGGAGCCGGCTGCATCACGTACCACAAGGGCCTTGGTGCTTGACCGGGATGGCCAATCTCTGCTGACACTCGGCTTTCTGCCGCTCGCAGTCGTTGGCGTAGGTCCGGCTGTCCCTGCCGCAGAGAGGTCGGTAGGCGCCGTCGCAGAGGACGCGCTCACACGAGCAACGGGCCACCCCCCGGCGGTTGAGGCACACGCCATGAAATCGGCACTCATCCTTGCACTTATCTGGAAAAGAGGAAGACAATGTGAGTCGCCAGAAGGGGTTTCTACAACCTCTACGCTGAGGTCATCCAAACCACCCCTTCTCGTATTGGCTAGAAAGAAGGCAGCCGGAGATCCAGAAGGAGACGGGCACCCTGCAAAGCTAAAGCCACTTTATGTCCCCCGCGCTGGGATGCATGGCAGCTGAATGGAGAATGTGCACAAAGCATTCAACTTTGTGACCACACAATGTGCATATTCTCTCTCTCTCTCTCTCTCTCTCTCTCTGTGTGTGTGAAATCTATTCATACTGACCCCTGAAACAGACATCCATGTTCTCACTTTTCCTTACACCCTCAAGACAGTTTACAGATGAACCGAACAATGTATAAAAACCATAGCAGTGCTGTTCCATTAGGCACCCTTTCCAGGATACTTTGTAAATAGGTATAATGGCTTTATGCGAGTTCTCTGTTTGGCTGATCTCAACTTGATATATAACTGCCTGTTTGTGTCTTGGCTGCCAAGGGCTTTGGCTGTAGTACAGCCTCATCTCCTACAGGGGATACACACAACATACATAACACTTTACAGTCCTCTTACCTCTTACAAACCATTCCTTGTTTAATGAGCAATATCAGTGCAAAGTGGAATCCCTTTATGCCCCGCCTCCCCCAAACATGAATATGTCCATTTCCACCAATCAACTTTCTCCATAGAAACAAGTGGCTTCCATTCCTTTGCATGGAAGAATGTAAATATAATATGAAATTTTGGACCGGTAGCAATTGTTTCTATTTTATTGCAATTTCAGTGTATCCAGTTGAGATACATCATAATGCTATGTTTTACCATTAGCCACATTAGATGCCCATTATTTGGCAAACAAACAGCCCATAAATATTTACAATAAACTAATGATGCCAGCTAATATTATAATGCCCTGCATTCAAAGAAATGTGCAATCGTAGCACACAATTTGCTGGAATAAAATATGTACAAATGGTTCTCAGCAAAGAAAACCACAAAACAATGGGTACTAGAGATGGGATTATTTTGGGTGGGGGATCCTGTTACAGACACCTGAATATGGTTCACCTGGGAGAAAAGTTTCATGGAAGAATGTAAATATAATATGAAATTTTGGACCGGTAGCAATTGTTTCTATTTTATTGCAATTTCAGTGTATCCAGTTGAGATACATCATAATGCTATGTTTTACCATTAGCCACATTAGATGCCCATTATTTGGCAAACAAACAGCCCATAAATATTTACAATAAACTAATGATGCCAGCTAATATTATAATGCCCTGCATTCAAAGAAATGTGCAATTGTAGCACACAATTTGCTGGAGTAAAATATGTACAAATGAATAGAGAATTAGGGGGGTTGTAGTCTAAAAATCCCATCCCTCCAAGCCACTATACTTTCTTACTGAACAGGAAGCTAGGAAGAACTAGGCCTAGCTAGACCTCAAAACCTTCCAGTTGAGGCCTTTTTCCCAGGTGAGCCACACTTAGGTGTCCGTGAGGTGTCTGTCTATCAGGCAGAATTCCCAGAATAGAGAATTAGAGGGGTTGTAGTCTAAAAATCCCATCGCTGGTGGAGACATTCCTCCAAGCCACTACACTGATTGTTAACAATTTCCATGAATCTCTTCTGCACTGGAATTGATCCACATGCTACCCCCCCAATAATTATACTTGAGGAAAAACTCACCCTGGAACTGGCACTGTCCGGAACGCACCTTCTGGATCTCCATCCCACGAATGGCGCCCGACTTCACCATCACACAGTCATTGTCGTAGGTCACACCATCATCACCACACACTGGGTCCCACTTCTTGGGGCAGCTTTCAGGCCGGGACAGAAGCTCAGCGCGCCGAGTGCGAGGATTAACCCGGCAAACTCTGTTCATATCGTTGTGGGTGCTTTTGCAGGGGTCTTCGGAGTAAGAGGAAGCAGAAGAGAGCAACATGACTCCACGGAGCCACCTTTATATCTTGAGTTTAGCTGCCCATGCCTCTAGGCCATTATCCTTAGTACTGTCTTCAACCAACAGCAGGTCAAAAAAGTCTTAAAGATGTATCAGTCATTACTATACAAGAACCTTTTAACTAGTCTTCCCAGGGAGCTTTGAAATGTTCCTTTAAGAACAATTCCCAGAATTACACATACACACACACACACACAAAAACGCCCATGCATGGCCTTTGGGATCTGCCTTCTATCTAAGAGGTCTATCTCACTAGCCCTGTTTTGTCTGGTCTTAGTTGTGAGCAACCCCTCTCCAGTCTTCTCCATCACTTTTCTACCAGAAGCCTTTTAAACGGAGATGTCAAAGTTCGAACCCCGAAAACTCCTCTGTGCAAGGCAGGTGCTCCATCACGGAGCCGTGACTCATCTCTTTAGATGGGATCCCTCCACCAAGGTTGCCTTACTCAAACTGCTGATTCATCTACCAACATTTTGCCTGTTTTAACTGAGAGCGGTTCCCTAGGCATCTCAGGCAAGAGTCTTTCCAGGACATGGATGCAACTATAGCTGGGAGCGAGAAAATCCAACACGGTCTGGACAAAAAGAAAAAGTTTATTCTATATGCTAATAGCCAGACTATTCTCCTTTGAAGGCCAAAATAGGCACAAGACATAATCAGCAGGCTCAGGGGGGCTGTGAGAGAGAGAGCAAAGGGTGTATCTTGAATCAAACTTCTTGTACTGCAACGCTATGTTGCAGCTCTTGCTTGCAATTCTATAAGCTTCTCCACTATGCACCCAAGCCTCTCAGCCACTCTAGGCTATGCTGTACATAGCCTTTGATGCTTATTGTAAGTCTTTCCTCTAGGGAAATCCACCTATGTTCTGGAGACAATATCCTTTCCTGTCATTCTCTTATTTGGTTATCTCAGGAATACTAGAAAGATGAGCCTAAGGCCCCAGTCGGTACATATCAGCTACATACATGCTTTCTTTAGCATGGCAGGGAAGACACGTATCACACTGGAAACAGCACACTGGAAAGACCAACGTGCATGTGGAGCTGTAACGAAAAACAACCGGAGCGCAGGTGTGGATCAGCGGACCTGGCTCCCACCTGTCTAATCCGGGCTTATCCGGATCACCTTCCATTCACCGCTTGGATGCTCTTATCAGAATGCTAAAGACACCGGGCTACTTACTGGCTAATCCTCTTCACTGTCTCACTGCTGGGGCATTTCCAGCAACCTGGGCTGATAACTCCTGGGAAGAACCAACCCGCTTCTACTCCATTTATATATATATATACACACACATTGGGTTTTATATATATTATAAACCCAACACATTGTCCTCTTGTTTTGTTATGGATCCTAGTGAACCAAAATACTCGCACATTCCTATCAAACGCTTCCCAAGATGTGGGGGACAAAAGAGGGACAAAGGATTAACCCATCACCATGGAGACTGGAAGAACCACCTAGGTATCTATTTAGCAGCTGGGGGGGCGGGGAAGAGAGAGAGAGAGAGAGAGAGAGAGAGAGAAACAGAGCCTTAACCCTACAGACAAATGATACAGAAAGACCAGAACCATCTTCAGATTTTAGGAGGTCCTCGGACAAAAGAACATTTCGTCCCTTGAGTTTGGGGAGAAAAAAACCCCAACATAAGGCAATGCCCATAGATCTGGGCAACCTAACAGAAGACCCAGGTGGCTCTGACTTTTCATCTCCTTGCACAGGTTGGATTACATCGGGGGGGGGGCAGAGCGGTTCTACCCCCCCGAACCATGGAAAATGTCTGCCAGTCAGAAATGCAGGACGAAATGAACAATCTAATACGCACTAGTTACAGCAAAAAAAAAAGAAAAAAGAAAACGAGAACTCAATGACACTTTGGAGACTGGTAGATGAATGCTTGCATCAGGTTTTCATTGCAAACTACTTCTTCACACAGATGGAGTCAAACCAGCAATTTATATACCAGGGGTCTAGGTTGTCGAATGCAGACAAAGGCAGCTGAATCATTCACACACCACTCGTACCTTTTGATAGGATTAAGGTTACAGAAACATCCTGGCTGTAGAAGGGCTTTTAAAGTAATACACAAGTTGGCTAGGTTATCAAGGCGTCAACTGCCCTCCCAGGTGTCAAAACAGGGGTTTCTGCTTTCAGGACAGCGTATGCTTTAACAACACTAATTTATGCCCACTGTTCATAATTCGGTTGTCATTTCCTGCATCCCACTTCTCTCTTATCCTGAGCCTCCATAATCATAACTACTTGCAGATAAACCTGTGGCTTGAAAACTGAACTCATGGTACAGCCAACAAAGCAGATTGTA